TTTTCTGGAAACCCCACGAAAGACGAGTGACTATGACGTGACGTCACGTCATGCAAGTTTTTTTGTTATCATTATGGAAAAATTAACGTTGAGTGACTCGTAAATAATTGTCAAATAAGTCTATTTTGATTACCATCCTTACATTTTAAGAACAATACGAATAAGCATGCAAATGCGCTCATTTAAAAGAAAGGGCCAAATTACAGAAAAGAAGACAAGCTGAAAAATAACGATTTCCGTCGTATGCAATGGCAGATTTGATTAGTCATATAAAAGCTATTTATAAATTATATAATAAAGCAGATATGTTCTTTTTAGCTGGTGAATATGATGTAATATGTACTGAAAAATTAGTTTTTATTTTTCAGTACATATCACATCATATTTACATACAAGTAAAATAGTCGAGAGAAATGCTTTATTGTCATACAACATACAAATATCAAGAATATTCATTGTTAAACTTATATTAAATATATGTAATATATCTGTATTGCTTAAAGGAACTCCGCTGATATTAAAAATACTGAAAAAAAAACTAAAAATTGAATGTCTTACTTAAAACGGCTAGCTAAGCAACATGTATAAATATATACTCTTAAATTAAGCAAGATATTGTATTCTAAGTTTCATGTTGATATCTCTATAAAATCTTTCTACTGAACAAATTTCCTATACACAAGTATACCTGATGAAGACTTTTGAGTCGAAACATTTTTTGTTTTTATTTATTTATTTACTTATCTATTATTATTTTTATAAATAATTAATAAATAATTTAATAAAATAGTTTTAAAATGAAACTGGAGATAGACAAAATACTAAGTAAAAAGGGGCATTAGTCTAAAGATATTGTTGTAGTTTTAGCAAGGCACCTGGTTAAGGATTGATTTAATGATTGAGTTTGTATGAGAATTGAGACCTCATTTGTTGTCATTATTTATTACTACAAATCTGTTGGGGCTAGACTGTGTATCAGTCTGGGAGATTTTAGTATGGTAACTCTGTCAACGGGTACCTGCATAAATTATGAAGAGGAGGCCTGCAATTATTGTGTTTAGGGAACTCAATCATTGGTTATCATCATAAATATTCCAGGAATCAGTCTGTTTGTTTCTGGTACAGTAACTTGATCAACACTTGTTTGTCATAAATATAGAAGGCTTAAATTTGTCAATTAACACTAAGGTAACCTCCAAATATGGAGAGTACAGGTATTTCATATAAATACTGGGACAAGATTTTCTAGAGGCAGTCTAGATTGAAGATTGAAGAACAAGATTCAAAATGCAAGAGTAATATTGTAAGAGCTAGAGTCAAGATTCAGGATTCTAGATTGAAGTTTCAAGAATGAGATCTTAAGAGTTTAGATATAAAATTCTCAGTGACTAATCAACCATGTGTGAGGAAGAAAAACTCTATAACTTTAAATATTAATTGTAGATTAGAAATTTAGGACACTTTCAAATAAATAAATGGTGAAATGAAACGGAAAACAGTTATTGTTTATTTTATGTAAATATGTGAAATTATGGAACTACATGTAGTAGAAATTATAAATTACAAGAGAGAAGAATTTATAACACTGGTGGCAGCGAACGGGATTTTTGGACTTTAACACGTTTAGAAAAGATTTTAAAGTGACTATCTGAAGAGACGTAAATTTGAACTGTACATTATAAAATTACTAAAATGGGACCATGCAGCTTCAATTTTTGTGGAAGAACAATTTGGTGACAATGTTTTATCGAAAACTGAGTATTATATGAAAAAACTGAGAATTGCAGAAGAAGAAAAACAGAAAAATTAGAAAAACAGAGCAAGAAGCCATGTTACAAAGAGATAAAATTGTGAATCATTATCTACAGAGGATTAATGACATAGATGGATTATTAATTATAGTTGGTCTGTGTGAATTTTTGACAGACTTTTAAGTACACTGTTTTCATTGCACATATTCATGGAGATAGATTATTAGGATAAGACTTTAAATGAAAAATATTTCTTTATTTATTGCTCAATTGGAATTAAATGTGGGTTAATGAAAAAAAGAAATTGTGGAGAAGGTGCCATTAAAATTTGTGAAAATTATAACACGGTCAAAGGTATCAATTCAAGTAAATTCAAACATTGTTAAACCTGGTAAGGCAATAAATCTTGGAACAATTAACTCATCATTATGCATCTCCTGCTTTTCGGAAAATAAATAGCCAGTAGATAAAGTGTTTATGGGAAGTGTGCTAGTATCCCATTGGGAAGTTCGAGGCAATTCAATTCCCATTAGATTAGTTAACTTTTGATAGAAATGTAACATTGACCAACGGGTCATGATTTGGATATTTGTATGAATTAAATCAATTAGATTTATTGAAAGAGAAAGTGAAAATTGATGACTGCAAATTAATTAGTAAAACATACGATAATATTAAATATGAGTTCACTAAATGGAGCAGTAAGTTTATAAGGGTTATATCATAGATCATCAGGAAGCGGAATTTAAGTTAATGTTGTGAAGCCTTTTACGTTTTGCAATTAAGTCTTTTATCAAACTCAAAGACTGTACTGTGCAACTGGGAGAGAACTTTTGGATGTCGTTACTTTTATCACTCAGTATAGACCCTACCTTTTAGAAAGAGAATTTCTTTTAAGGACATATTGTTCAAGTCTGCGATGTTAAATGTTGTTCAAGTCGCCGACAGGTCAAATGGCTCGCTGTTTAGAAGTTTTGTCACAGTTAAATTTTAGGATTAAACATAGAAGTGGGAGAAAACAAGCAAATCTTGACAGTCTCTCTAGAATGTCATGTGTGAACAAGAAGAGTGTAGTTGTTATGATGGAAAAACAATTTTGGAAGAATTACCTTGCAAAGGATGTGTGTAACCTGTATGAAGAAACATGAGTCTTGTCAGATTTTGCCGAATTTGATAATGTTGTTCCTTGTTCGATGAGAACATAGGTAAAGGGAAAAGTATCAAACCTTTTGTGTTAGGAGTTAAAACCTCAAAATGACTGGGCATTTGGAGTGATGTTTTTTGTTAATGCAGCTGCAAAGTTATGAGATTATTGAGTTGTTTAAGATCACTTTTCCATGGAATGAATAGGACAAGGAAGTATTTTCGATAATCACATTGGTCGACTTCATTTCTGTGAAAGTCTACATTCGCATGGTCGAAGAAGTGGAAGCAATCTCAACATCAGTGAAATTAATAAAGAAGTGGTTGACAAGGACGTAAATTCCATACTAGGTGGCGAAGTCGTTTCATCAGAAAATGAAGCTCAGACATCTAACTTGGGTCGTCTTAAGCAGTTCAACACTATTAATTATTCACCTATTAGAATGGCAAAATTACAGAGAGCAGACCTCGATTTAGGTGTTGGGACATCATGGGTTACTGGAAGCAAACAAGTGGTTGACAAGAGCGTAAATTCCATACTAGGTGGCGAAGTTGTTTCATCAGTAAATGAAGCTCAGTCATCAAACTTGGGTTGTCTTATGCAGTTCAACATTACTTGTTATTCACCTGTCAGAATTGCAGAACTACAAAGAGCAGACCCAGATTTAGAAGTTGTTATAACATGGGTTATTGAAAACAAACGACCCTCCAGGGACAAGGTAGCTAGATATTCTCCAAATATAAGGAACTACTGGTTTAACTATGACTTGCTAGTGATGAAAGATGGAGTGCTGTTTACAAAATGTAACAGTATTCTCAACACAAGAGGGGAGGCTTTGCTTCTCATTGTTCCAAAGGTTTTACAAAAAGAGATTTTGGTATCTACACATGACTCAGTTACAGGTGCTCATTTGGGAATAACAAAAACTTTGTCTAAAATAAAATGCAAGTTTTATTGGTTTATAAGCTAAGATACAGTGTTGAAATTCATATAAAGCAATGCAAGAAGTGTTCATTTCTAAAACGATCATCAAAATGCACTGTTGGTCACAGTATGGGCAGGGTTAGCACTGATAACAAGGAGATATAATGGCCATGTGGAAATCATGCATCATGATAGTTTGAAACTTTATCGTGGAAATTATATGACAAATTGGCAATCAAACATGGCAAGGATCAACAAGAATAACAATGAATTACACATCAAAGAAACTAAAACAATGCTATAGATGACGTTTGAATCAGATTTTCAACAAGTAAGAAGAGGTAAAAGGAATAAAACTCAACACATACCATACCAGCACAGAACATTAAGATCATAAAGTATCATCATGTAAAATATCTTTCAATAAGTTTTGATTTCAAAGGAGTACATGTTGGGTATATAAGGGTACTCTGAGATTTTGCAGTCATTTCGGAGTTTTCGACTATTTAGAATTGTGTAGGGAAATATATAATATTGGAATAATATGAAATTATAAAGAAAATAGTGAAAAAAGAGGAATTTTAAACGGTGTTCTTACAAAAATATATATTGGATATAAAACGCAATCGGAATTAATTTGTGATTCGTTCAAATTGGAATATTAATTTGTTATTCATTTCAAAATTGGAATATTAATTTGTGATTCATTCTGAATTGGAATATTAACTTGTGATTCTTTTCAATTTGGAATATTAATTTGTGATTCTTTTCAATTGGAATATTATTGTGTGATTCTTTTCAATTGGAATATTATTGTGTGATTCTGGTTCAAATTGGATTTTAAAGTGTTTTATTTTCAGTTTAACAATCAGTGCCATTTTCTAATTTCAATTATGTTATATATAAATATTAAGTTTAATATTTTGGCACTTAGGACTCTATGGTAGAGACGACTACCAAACAAATTTTATATTCAGTTTGTGCCTTTTAAGAATTCTTACACATTTGTTAAAATTTATTAAGAAATAAATAGGCACCAGGACTTTGTGTGCAAGAAATAGACAATGTGTGAAAGATTGAATTAGGATATTGTGAAATAGAAAAAAGGGACAATAATTGAGTGAAAAAAAAAAGTTTCATTTTGATATTAAAACATGGTGTTAAAAGTTGAACAACTGTTTGAGAACTTTAATTAATTTGTTTTGAGTATTCAATGTATAATTGTAGTCAGAAAAAAAATTGTCATTAACAGAAGTAACATTTCTTTAGATTAAGTATTTTCTTAGAATTTCGTATTTGAATAATGCTATTTTAGTTAATGCAGTGTTTATATGTTAATTGAGAATGTTTTATTGTTAAACTTCTATTCAATTTGGGAGTAAGATTGGTTGAAAAGTCACTGATTTTTGTTTCGTTTCTATATTTTTGTTTGGTGTTGTTAACTTAATTGGGACAATTAAGCTTTTTAAGGTTGGGGGAGTGTTGTAGTTTTAGCAAGGCACCTGGTTAAGGATTGATTTAATGATTGAGTTTGTATGAGAATTGAGACCTCATTTGTTGTCATTATTTATTACTACAAATCTGTTGGGGCTAGACTGTGTATCAGTCTGGGAGATTTTAGTATGGTAACTCTGTCAACGGGTACCTGCATAAATTATGAAGAGGAGGCCTGCAATTATTGTGTTTAGGGAACTCAATCATTGGTTATCATCATAAATATTCCAGGAATCAGTCTGTTTGTTTCTGGTACAGTTACTTGATCAACACTTGTTTGTCATAAATAAAGAAGGCTTAAATTTGTCAATTAACACTAAGGTAACCTCCAAATATGGAGAGTACAGGTATTTCATATAAATACTGGGACAAGATTTTCTAGATGCAGTCTAGATTGAAGATTGAAGAACAAGATTCAAAATGCAAGAGTAAGATTGTAAGAGCTAGAGTCAAGATTCAGGATTCTAGATTAAAGTTTCAAGAATGAGATCTTAAGAGTTTAGATATAAAATTCTCAGTGACTAATCAACCATGTGTGAGGAAGAAAAACTCTGTAACTTTAAATATTAATTGTAGATTAGAAATTTAGGACACTTTCAAATAAATAAATGGTGAAATGAAACGGAAAACAGTTATTGTTTATTTTATGCAAATATGTGAAATTATGGAACTAGTAGAAATTATAAATTACAAGACAGAAGAATTTATAACAATATATAGCTTTCAGAGTGCAAACCGACCCTTATCTCACAGCTGCGTCGTGTCATGGTAAGTAAATAATCCAGGTTTCGTTTTAATATCTTAATACCACGTTTTAATAATGATTATATTTAAGTTTTTGCACAACAGCGACAATAAAAAAGACAACAATGACACAATGACGTTGCGGCAATTTAAAACTAATAATTGAAATAAAAACGGACATAGACATTTTCTCTGTCGTACTGTCACCCACGTGCTGTCGTCTTCCTGTTAGGTATGCAAAAATGTGTTTCCTCCAATAGACAGATACTTTTTAAATCTTATTTCGGAAATATTGTTATTTCCTTGTGACTTTCTTATGCATGTACGTGACATACCACAGTGTCTCATTCAAAAGATATATTTTACCATGCACAGTAAGTTTTATTTGTTGTTGTTGATTTTGTTTTCTCGTATTCAAGTGTTTTCTAATTTTAATTTTATAATTTTTCAAATCAACCGTACGCACATGAGTTCTTGTCTATGCCTAGGTAGCGCCAGGTACATTTATCTTAAAAAATATTTCCAATCCTATCATGTAAATAAAACTCAAAATTTTCAACCCTTTCAAAACTACATATTTACAAATATGCATTTTGCAATATTATATTTTATATTTTTCTAAATCTAGCATTATTGATCTGTTACTAAAGCAAAACCATTAATGAGTTTATACAATTGATAATGATTAAGCAGAAATGTAAACCGATGGGCCATGATGTTAAAATTTGTTGTCCTTTTAACTCTTTAAATACGAATTAGGCCCTCTTTCTCAATTTCAAGGTGTTATCAGTGTATTGCCATAAACATAAATCAAGATCAAGGAAAATGGGTTCCCTAGATTTTTGTGGTTCCAGTCTTGTCAAACATCTTATTTTCGTAACCACCAGTCGTCTATACCAATTCCAACATTTTGCATGACACCCCTTTTATTCTAAAATAGTAAAAAGCACGAATAAAGTGTTACATATATTTTGTAAAGTACAAAATATTATTAAAAAATATATTGAAAATATCCAAAACATGTAAAATATAGTTAGCTCAATTCGAAATCCAGGAAGAATTTCTTTTAAATGCAAATCAATCAAACAATTGATATGTATTTTTTTATATTAATGTTATTGTCGGAAGTTAGTAATGCAACTTTGTGTAACCTTTTATTTATGAACATCTGATTTCATTATGAAAAGCCAAAATGGGAAATATTTCTAGTTTTAAAATAGTTACACTATCGCATTACATAAAACAATCATAAATAAACTTATTACCCTTTCCTCCTGTAACTCTTTTTCCAATAATCGTATCTTAAAAAAATACAAAGTTTACTTCAAAACAATTTCATTTTCAAAAATTACATATAAACTTTATATCTTCTATAACGTAATACCCTGAAATAATTATTCCTTCTCATTTAACCTTTGATCAAATATAAACAAACTAAGATAACAAGAAATGTCATTTAACTTGTTATGTCATTTAATATTAAATTTATTGTATATAAGAAAATAAACATTATCATGAGCAGAATTTCATTTCCCAAACCTTTTAAATGTAAATACGTATAAACACGAAAAACTATAAATTAACCAACTGTTTCAACCGATCAGCCACAGAAAAAACATGTAATAAAATTGAAAATACACAAGTCTCGAGTTTTCTCAGGATTTATCAAATTAATTTTCTCATTTGATATGCTTGCGTCAGATATCAACATGCTTCAACATCTTATTTGATGTAACATTAACTTTAAACAAATCAAGAAATGTCGAACGACACATATGCCCCCTTTCTAGCTTTTGACTTATATTATTGGTAATTTTGTTATAGAAACTTGCCATAAATGGCGCCATAAATGGCTACATGTAAGTGTTCAGTTATGGAAAAAGAAAAATGATAACCAATCAATATATAAAACATAAAGACCTTGACCTTTGAACTAGTGACCCCATTTTGACTTATCAATATGTGAAATATAAAGATTAAGGTAATAAGCGGAAACAATACTTATATTTTAAGCTGCTGTGAACTTGGCCTTTGGACATTAGTGATCCCAAATTCTATGAATTTGCAACATATAGTAATTTAATATGTGAAATATGAAGACTTCGTGATAATCAGTTTTCAAGATAGTGAGCAGTTTTTATTCTGAAATTTAAGGCCCTTGCACCCTTGACCTTTGACATGTTGTTCCCAATATCAATAGAGGACATCAACTAGCAATAACCAATCAATATGTGAAATATGGAGACTTTGTGATAAGTAGTTTACAAAATAATGAGCAGAAACAAATCTGACATTAAAGGCCCCTGTGACCTTGACCTTTGAACTAGTGGCCCCCAAATCAATAGGGATAACCTACTAGGTTTGCCAAACTTATGTGAAATATGAAGACTTTGTGATAAATAGTTCACAAGAAATTAAGTTGAAACCATTCTGCTATTTAGTGCCCATGTGACCTTGACCTTTGACCTAGTGACACAAAATCAAAATGGGTCATCTTATAGCGACCAATCAGTATCTTTAATATGAAGACTTTTTGATTAAAAGTTTTCAAGATAATAAGAGGAAACCAATCTGACATTTAAGGCCCCAGTGATCTTGATCTTTGACCTAGTGAACCAAAAATCAATAGGGTTTAACAACTAATTTTGACCAATTAGTATTTGAAATATGAAGACTTTGTGATAAATAATTTTCAAGATAATGAGCGGAAAACAGTCTGACATCTAAGGCCCTGTGACCTTGACCTTTGACCTAAAGACCACAGAATTTATAGGGGTCATCTACTAATTATGACCAATCAGAAAGTGAAATATAAAGGCTTTGTGATTAACAATTTTTAAGATAATGAACATAAACCATTTTGACATTTAAGGCACATGTGACCTTGACCTTTGACCTAGTGACCCCAAATACTGTTCATCTACTTATTATGACCGATCAGTATCTGAAATATGAAGACTTTGTGACCAACAGTTTTCAAGATAATGAGCAGAAACCATTCTGACATTTAAGGCACCAGTGACCTTAACCTTTGACATAGTGACAACAAAATCAATAGGGTCATCTACTAACGACCAATCAGTTTGTGAAATATGAAGACTTTGTGATAAACAGTTTTCAATATAATAAGAGGAAACTAATCTGACATTTACGGCCCCTATGACCTTGACCTTTGACCTAGTGACCCTAAATTTAATAGGGGTCAACAATTGATAATGACTTATCAGTATCTGAAATATGAAGACTTTTTGATAGATAATTTTTAAAATAATGAGCGGAAACCACTCTGACATCTAAGGCCCCTTTCACCTTGAACTTTGACCTAGTGACCACAAAATTTATAAGGGCTATCTATTAATTATTACCAATCAGAAAGCGAAATATGAAGGCGTTGTGATTAATAATTTCAAGATAATGAGCAGAAACTATTCTGACATTTAAGGCACCTGTTACCTTAACCTTTGACCTAGTGACCCCAACATCTACTATATATGGCCAATCAGTATGTTATACATGTATATAAAGGCTTTGTGATAAACGATTTTCAAGATAATGAGCAGAAACCATTCTGTCATTTAAGGCCTCTGTGACCTTGACCTTTGACCTAGTTACCCTCAAATCAATAGGGATTATCTACTAGTTATGACCAATAAGTTTGCGAAATGATAAATGGTTTTAAGGATAATCAGTGGAAACCATGTGGTCTACCGACGGACAGACCGACATACTGACGGAGCGACAGACCAACCGACATTAGCAAAACAATATACCTCCTCTTCTCAGGAGAGAGTCATAACGAATCTTTGGTGAAACATGTACGTATCTGTAAAAAATGGTTAACATATTTTAAATAATTCACATCAATTTTCTTTTTTACCATCAGTCTTTTTAAGTTTACCTTTTCTTTTAATTCATGATCTTTCCTTTCTAATGCAAATCCATACACCTGCAAAAACATTACAATTAAAAAACAACAATTTCGAATAATTGCTGACTAAGATTGAACATTAAAACAATAGTTTTTTTTCAGGAAAAACTGACATTATCGGAAAATTACGGAAGCGTCCTGGTACGGAAGCGCCCTGGTGCCAATTTTACATTTTTTCTATAAAAAAAATAACTCCTACGTAGGACTTTATAACTCCTACGTAGGACTTTATAAGTCCTACGTAGGAGATAAAAAAGCCTCATTAGGAGTTTATTACTCCTACGTATTAGGAGTTTTAAAGTCCTACGTAGGACTTACAAACTCCTACGTAGGACTTTATAACTCCTACGTAGGAGTTAAAAAAGCATAATAAGGAGTTTATTACTCCTACGTAGGACTTTATAAGTCCGACGTAGGACTTTATAACTCCTACGTAGGACTTTATAAGTCCTACGTAGGACTTTATAACTCCTACGTAGGAGATATAAAAACCTGATTAGGAGTTTTAAAGTCCTACGTAGGACTTACAAACTCCTACGTAGGACTTTATAACTCCTACGTAGGATACATATCAAAGTACTGAAAGCACAGAGTTCGACGGACATGTATGCTAGAGTATAACTAATGATAGCATATTATGTAGGAAAATAAATTATATGAGCCGCGCCATGACAAAACCAACATAGTGCATTTGCGACCAGCATATGGATCGAGACCAGTCTGCGCATCCGCGCAGTTTGATCAGGATCCATGTTGTTCGCTTATAAACCCTATTACAAGTAGAGAAACTGATAGCGAATAGCATGGTCCCTGATCAGACTGCGCGGATGCGCAGGCTGGTCTGGATCCATGCTGGTCGTAAACCCACTATGTTGGTTTTGTCATGGCGCGGCTCATATGTGTCAAGTTGTAATTGTGGCAAGCCGCTTTAGTAAATACCTTTAGTCTGTAGCCAGAGATGATTTTGTCATTCTCTGCATATATTTAACGATGATTCTGTATTATGTACGATTAGTTAAATTTATTATGCACATGTACACATGTATGGGTTAAACTAGGATATACAATGTAATTCACTATTAAACATATGCATGCATAATGCTCCGCAAACCGTTATCTTCTTAAACTTTACGGAACAGGAACAAGACACTTCACTACTCCCCCTGCCCCCTTTAAGGCTTTAATCTTTTGAAACTGCCGAAAATGGATAAATTGCTCGTTTTGTTCAGCTAGGAAAACGTAATCGTTAAAGCCTTTTAAAATTTTGATATAATTATATGCTTGTTGTCGAGTTTTTTTTCGAATAGCTGTAAAGCAATTTTTCGGGATACATCGCCAATGCTTACAGACACCTCACCCTAAGACACTGTACACTCTAGAAACCTGAGAAGTGTGCCGTGTGACTAGTAGCCTAATGATCGCTAGCCGCATGGGTTCAAACCCCGTTAGGCGTAAGCCGTAAGAAACTTTACACTCATTGCTAAGTACGTACTGGTTGGTTCTAGGAACGGACTCGAAAGTGTGTCTATAAGCTTAAAGCTTCCTACACAATCAAACTTAAATAAATTCTGTATGAACCAAATGTGAAATGTCCTCTATATTTAAGATTTGAAATTTCGGCCGGGGGGGGGGGTTAAGTGTCTTGTTCCTTTGCCGTTATACCGGTCCGGAATGTTGAGATTTGCAAAGCATTCTGTATGCATCTCTTATAAAGTCATAAAGTCCTACGTAGGACTTACAAAGTCCTACGTAGGAGTTTAAAAGTCCTACGTAGGAGTTACAAACTCCTAATAAGGCTTTTTTATCTCCTACGTAGGAGTTTATTTTTTTTTATAGAACATTATGAATTGGCACCAGGACGCTTCCGTAGAAACATTACAAGCTAGATATTTTTTGAAAATGAGCTATCATTGTAGATCAGTTTCATTCCTATGTTTGTAGTCAAATATTAACAAATATGTTTTACGAAAAAATTAGCTCAGAGTTGAATTCACATTGCTCTGTAACTCTGTGAAATTCGAGGACGAATATCAATATAGCTGGGGAGTATGTCACGGTTCAGAACTGTTCACTATTTAGGAGAAAAGATGTGTAAGCGGCCGGATAGCTCAGTCGGTAGAGGCGCGATACAGTATTCCGAGGGTCCCTGGTATCTTTTACATTTTATATATATGCAGCAACGTTTAAGATGATTTTATGGTTTCAAAATACATGGGACCAATTCGGCAAAAATGAACAAAATATTGCTCTTTCAGAAAACCAGTAACCTTAGAATTGGGGCTATTTAGATATTGAATGTATCGGTGAAATTCCTATATCAGCTCTTAATAACAACAACAGTTCGAATATGGAATGTATTAACGCAAAAATTACATCTTGCCTTCTTACGTTACATTGTGCTTTCTGACTTGTACATCTTGGATTCTCACAATTACATTTTGCATTATAACATGCACACAATGAATCCTGGCTTGTACATCTTGCATTATGACTTGCATATTTTGCTTTAAATTGCGTGAATCGTCCGTTATTTGACTTATCTTCAAATTTGTCTATGTTAAAGTTATATGTTTGATGCTAAAAACTGTTCAGTTTAATTATAATTATCGTACACTGTCTACATTTAATGTGTACAAAAATAAGAAACCTATATGTTAATTGATTATACATGTATAAATAATACATAGAAGCACGCACTGTGTGCAATACAACAAGGCAGGTTGCAAAACTACACTCTTTTTTACGACAGAGGGCGCAAGTTCGGAAACATGTACGAAACCATACGGAAATTACCGAAAATATACGAGTATTCGGAAAATTGATCACAATAGTTATGTCCCTTATTTGCAATTTAGCCATAATCTTATTTGTAACGGTTGATGTCATCACAGACATTTGGGGTGTGGAGCTTTAAACGCCTTTAAAATCCAAATTAAATGTACATTTGTCAATCCCAGCACATGTGCTGCTCATATATACAGAAATATATACTAGTATCTAAAAACTTAATATAAGCCGTTTTGAAAAAAATCCTGTTTCAACGTCTATAATAATACACGTGTACTTTAATTTATGGTCACAGGTATTGTAAATAAGCTATGTCAAAAATTTGGAACTTTCCAAGAGGATGAAATATTGTACTTAGAAGTTTTTTATGGCCCAAGCACTTTGAACAACTGTTCTATTTTATAACTTTTTTGTTGATAAAAAAAATAATTCTAAAATAATTGACTTGAAAAGTTGCAACTTTTCATTGTCAGCTGGAAATATAATTTCACCCGCAGAGTTTCAGTAATAAATACAAAAATTGGTTAAATCATTTTGTATATGTGTTTACCTTATTTCCTCCATAGTGGAAATGGAAATTTAAAACAAAGGGACGTAACTTGGCAAACTGAATCCGAACCGCAGTACGGACTTTACCGAGAATATAACTGTAGCGCCACCTGTTAGCAGAATTTGGGTGTCACATATTATTACAACAGATGTCGCGTCGTATTATGCTTGCTGCATTCGGCTTTCGGCTATGCGTCATTCTCCCTTATGACATTCGTCATTCAAGCTGAGTAAATAGACTCAAATACAAACAGTTGCAGGTTAAGTTATTAATTAATATACCAGATTAACAAATGAATAATAATTGATATTTAAATAACAATATCAACATACAATTAAGCAAGACGCACACAGCAGAAAGCATAATGTGCAAGTAAGAAAGCAACATGTAAAAGTCAGAATGCAAGATGTACAAGTTAGAAAGAACGATGTACATAACGTAAGAAAGCAAGATGTAATTTTTGCGTTTATCCCCTTCCATATGATATTGAAGTGATTAACATATCTATAAAACTAATGAACGGTTAATACCGTTTTTTCTCTTCCTATAAATTAGATAAATAATAGACTTACAACGTCTTCAATTTTTAGAGAATCTCAGGAAACAAACAAGATTTGTCTCAATTAGAAATTATCGGTATAAATTCTATGCATAAATAGTATCTTAGCACAGGTTATGAATGAAATTAGCAGTAAAATACTACGTAATATGTCATATTCGTTACAACTTTGTATTGCTTGAAAAGAATAATGCATTTTTAATGCGTAATTATCAATAATTCGCACCTTGTCTTATAATATTTTCTTTCATCGAAGCAATAAGTTTAGTGTAGTAGCAGTTGTGAATATTCCGGAAACAGTGTTCTAAGACTAAATTCTTTTTAGGTAGGATATTTGCCGTTTTTCAGGAACATATACTTGAAACTGCATTAACAACACCAGAGTATACTTTGATACTTTTAGAACGTTGGTTTTTTTTTTCAAGGCATTTATTACATTTTTTCGTTATTCTACGATATTGTATAAAAGCTGAAAATGAAAAATACAGTAAGTTAGACAAAAAGTCAAAGGCCACTAAATTCTAATTACTTATGCGTATGTGGTTCTGGTGAGTTATAATCTGTACGATTATACCAAAAAATAAATTGAAAAAAAAAAGTTAATGAACAAAGTCTTACATTAAAGCCTTTTATCTGATTACATGTAAAAGACAAAATGTTGGAAAGCTTCTCTCTTTCTTTCGAGTCTACGCATGTCCGCATGTCGAATACAACCGCATCCTTCTTTGTTTTTAAAGCTTTTCCTATAACCAGCGTCAACTCATCTTCTTTCGTAGCAAGGTTAAAAAGTTGAAGTCTTTCCAACTATATGTAAAGTGAACAACTTACAAGATCAAAATCTTATTTACATTGATGCTGCTGTTGAAGTGTAATTTTTTCAATAAATATAATAAAAGATCATGAGGGGAAATAAATGCATGTTAGTGCCTACAACTGCCATCCTTTATTATTTTACCAACTGAATATTAAGTTATTAACTAGATACGTATTGACGTAACTAATTAACCTCTTAACTAACTAGTTAATGTAGAGGTAAACTAAATACGTATTTACTTAACTAGTTAACCTCTTAATAAGTATTTACGTGACTAGTTAACCTCTTAATTAACTAGTTGATTAAGAGGTTAACTAGTTACGTAATTAGTTGATCACTTAATATTAAGCTGGTAAAATAATAAAAGGATGGAAGATGTGGGCACTAACATGCATTTATTTCCCCTAATGATCTTTTATTTATTGAAAAAAATTAACAAGTTACGTAACTAGTTAACCACATAACTAACGAGTTAATTAAGAGGTTAACTAGTTACGTAACTAGTTAACCTCTTGATTAACTTGTGTTAGTTATATGGTTATCTGGTGGCAGAAATATGCCACCATACTCTAGGCTTATCATTCGTTCACATAAGTTTTCTAAAAATAGATCATGAATCTTGGATAATCTTATGAAACTATTAACTTTTTCTACAAAATATAATTATAATGAGTATAACAAAGTAACTTGAAGAAACATCAAGAAACATGTACGAGTATAAACAAAATTTTTAGTCGTATTTTTTAGATATCACCGTGTATGTTCAGTAACGCAGGAATATTAAAATAAGCACCACAAAATGAACAATACGGTAAGTAAATGGAGTTATTTAGTTATGGAATTATGATAACTCTTCTTGGAAACTTATTTCTGAAAGAGACCACAAAAAATGACGCCTCTGTCAATGGAAATAAGGTCCGAGGATATCAACAGCTCGATAGTTTCGCATGCAAAGTATGGGGTAGTGAGTCGGGAGGTGTGTGGGTCGAGCATTGTCCTGAATAAGAATAAAATCTGGACCCACTGCATCAACATATGGTTGTTCATTTACGTAAACAAGCTTGAGACAAAAGCTTTATGATAAAAAAATTCTCATCAATCACATGATATGTCACAAGGTTTATAATTCCCTCACCAATATTGCCATAATACCCGTTGAACTTAAAAAAATGCGAATTTGTAACTGTAACTTTTTTTTATTTCTTAGGGCAACCACTTTAAACATCAAATTTATGTCGCCTCCGATTCATAAATTCAGCTCGACAATTTCAAGAAGTAAGTCTTTAGAATTCTTTCTAAAATTATTGTGTTTTACTATTATAATCTATTTGTTATTCTTTTTTAATTCTTTCTAGGATTTACTTTCAATCTCATATTTACATTTCATATGCACTTCATCATTATTATAATTTGAGAAAGCATATTAAACTCTTTTATCAATATTTCAAGAGTTTTTTTACCCTTAATTAAGGTAGAACGCGACACTTTGCGAACTTTCGAGTAGCGTCTTGAAAATTGGAATGCAGAAAGTTGACCATATTTCTGAATTGATTTCGTTGATTTTATTCCAATAATTTCAACCAATTTTTGTACACTGACGTCAAAGTTGACCATCAAAGCCCGATTTTTAAATAGAAGATAGAAAAGTTTGTGTAGTAGATAATTATATATATAATAATATTATTAGTAATAATAACAACAATTTTTTTAGAGAAGGTAACTTACAAAGTTTGCACACTAAGAGGACATGTATACTTATTTTCAGTAAGCCTTCTATTTCATCAATAACAAAGAAAACAATAGTTGTAGATCTTTACAAAATTCAAAAAAAATTGTGCAAATATAAAAAATTAAATACATTCTTTAAAAGAAAGGTTAGACATTTTAATTCATTCATCCAACTGACACTCATATTAATCCCAATAATTATAGATAAACTCATTAATTTTTAAAAAAAGATAGTTTCAGTATTAGGTATAATTTTTTAGAACAAGATCTTTATGAGTGATTGAGCGTAACTATGTAATTCATTGTAAGAAAAACTAAAAATTCATTCATATACAACGGAGGCAAAGATTTATACACCATAATTGCTGTGTGGTATTTCACCCTAAAATTTAATTTCAACCATTTATATCTTTATTTAAGAGATCTGATCTAATGTTGGTGAAGCACCGGTTCAAAAGTTTAAGGTACACGGTTCACTCGGTCATGGTGATATTGTAGCTATACTATTTATCGGAACATGAAATAGTAAAAACAATACGGTAATCGATTTATACAGTTTAAAAGATTAAAACGGAATGAAACATCCACGTAGCACTAAGTAACGTAAATGATATTTTCCGATTTTTCTATGTACCGATTTGTTCACACTGATGTTAATTTTTCGTTTAAGTTAAGTCGTATTTTGAAACGGAGCATGCGCAAAACAATATTTGTAGACTGCTCCTAATGATTTTACGCTTTAAAAGAGATTCATTCACTACAATCAGATACGCAAAAATGGATGCCGCCAGCAATCAGTCTGATCACTATGTATGTTTGACTTTAGAATTAGTTATTTAAAGAAGCTAATATAAATATGATTATTGTTTATAAGTAATAGATTTTTAGACACTTGTCAAGCAAGTTAATCATTAAACTTTTAGACGCTCTTAGAGCAAGAATAGTTCTTAGCAAGTCAAGCAGAATACAGTAAGGTATGTAGATTGATTTCATTGGTTATCAGAGATCACGTGGTTCTTGCATTAATATAAAAGCAGAGACGCAGACAGATTTTGGAAAAAAAGCCAGCCCGCATAGCTCAATCGGTTAGAGCACGAGACTTGTAATCTCGACATTGTGGGTTCGATTCCAGGGCTGGCCAACTAAAATTACTAATCAGTCTTTCGGATGAGACTTTAAATCGAGGTCCCGCGTATGAGTGCTTAAACACTTGGCACGTTAAAGAACCAGGGGAAGCTTCTGGAAATGCGGCATCTTTCTGTATCTGTATCTTGCACTATCCTCCAAAATCTAAAATGACTAATGCTCTTCTGGAGGACTCGCCCATATGGGTAACCGGTGGCGAGTATAAATAAACTCAAATACACACACAGATTTTGGAAAACTGAAAGGTGTGAACTTGTCTGTCCGAATTGCATGTCTGAGGCACCATACCAATAACACCTGTCCGAAGCACTATTGCTTGTCCGTGTGTCCGTATAGCCTATGTCAGGAAACCTTACCCGTCCGCTCTTTGATCCTTTATTTTAGGCAGCAACACATTCTTTAGCTAAACAACATAATGCACACAATGGTCTGATTGGCCTCCCGTGTATTATTTCATTAATAAAGTCTAAAACATTTGCATTTTATTTGGGCTCATTAAGTGAATTACTGAATTCATATTAAATAGGTCACCACTTTAGATTATAACATACTTTAAGGGCATGACTGGTGACATGTCCGAGGTCCGTACTCTTAGTGCCTGGAAGGGCGGATGGAACCTCATTAAGCAAAAATTACATACATACGATTTTGGGAAGGGGCCTCCGTGGCCGAGTGGTTAAGGTCGCTGATTTGAGATTACATGTCCCTCACCGCTGTAGGTTCGATCCTCACTCGGGTCGAAATCTTTCATGTGAGGAAGCCATCCAGCTGGCTTACGGAAGGTCGGTGGTTCTAACCAGGTGCCCGCTCGTGCCTGAAATAATGCCCGGAGGGGTACCTGGGGTCTTCCTCCACCAATAAAAGCTGGGGAAAAAATCTATGAAAAAATCTAGGATGGCCCGACTTGAGTGTACGGTCGCTCATATGGGCTTTCCGACGGCGACCTTAAATAAACGCATTAAAAAGAATTGGGATCAGCTGAGACATCGTCTAGGAAGGTCAGGCAAATAAATAAATATTAGTTAAATACTTGGGACTTTGTGCCGTAAATACAACAAAGTAAGATTGGCCCAGATATTTTGAGCATTGTGTTCTGATATCTTAACATGAAAGCATTGCGCTTTGTGTTAAGGGTTTAATCTTAGTTTTATTTTAGTTGTACGGGTCGCTGGTGAGATTAATGAAAGGCTGAACATATAGAATGTAAAGTACGTAGTTCTTATAGGTCGATGTGTAAAATTACTAGGAAACATTTATAGAAAGCTAAGCATAAGAGTGATATAGTATTTCCCATTGGTTGTGTTTTAAATAGAAGACGTTGACTTGATAAAGTAAACTGTTTGAGGAAACTTTGAGCTATATTGAAAACAGCGTATCTTTATTAATTCCCATTGATTTTATGGGCTTTCCGGCGGCGACCTTAAATAAACGCATTAAAAAAAAAGGTTTCAGGAGTTGCAGCTGAGTCATCGTCTAGGAAGGTCAGACAAATATATAAGTATTTATTATCAGCTAATTAATATAATACATTGTACTTGAGACTTTATGCCGTAAATAGTTGTACGGGTCGCTAGTGAGATTAGTGAAAAGCTGGACATATAGAATGTAAAGTAATTCTTATAGGTTGATGAGTAAATTTACTTAGGAATATTGATAAAAAGCTAACAATAGGAGTGATATAGTATTTCCCATTGGTTGTGTTATAAATAGAAGGCACTGACTTGATTAAGTATAGAGCTATATTCAAAAACATCATATCTTTATTAATTCCCATTGAATTTACTGTTATTTAAATCATTTGAGAATCATTTATTACTACTCATATATAATGTATATAATAGTCAAAACTATAATTTTTCGTAGTTCAAACGCTACCTAAATTATAAGAGAGAAGCTCGGACACGTAACAATAGCAAAAGATTCTGGTCGGACAAACTCTTTTACTTATCTGTAATAAGTCCTATAGAATTTATGTGTTAATACCAGTGTAACACTATTATATTTTTACTGCAATGATTTGTTTCTACTACCCCAAATATTTAAAATGAACAAACAAGCCACACAAACACGAATAGTGAATAATTATTTAGTCATTCGAGGCATAACGTTCACGCTG